AGAATGATATTTATTGATACCAGTTTGGAAAAAAAAACACATTTAAATCTTAAAAGGGTAGATTTATAAGTATTTAGAAAAATAGACATTGATGAAATATCAAGTGTGTAATATGATCCTTTGGACAATTTTTATAAAAGAAAAAATGTAGTATTCCTCATATGTACTTAGCCCAAATTAAATCTTTATTGGTTTAGTTTAGTGGGCAGAAGGACTATTTTGGAAATTCCTTTTTGGACACTCTTGTTTCACAAAATTTTGATGAGAGAGAATCCTTTAGTTTAAGAGAAGCCCAACCCAAGACTATACAAAGAGGATGGTCCAACTTTTAATTTGGGCCTTTACTTATTCCTAAAAAACCAAAAGGAAAATTGGAGTGTGCATTTATTATGGAAAATAGAAAAAAAAAAAAAAAGTTACATTAATTTCATCTGAAATTTTTCCACTTTTGCACACCATGCTTTAGTTTTAATTATTTCTAAATACTTGGATTTCAATCTTTCAAATCACATTTCTTAGATTTTTTTTGTTTGAAATTTCAAATATACTACAAAAATAGTGCTATCCACTAATTTGACATAAGATATATATAGTAATGAATTAGTAATTTAGATATAGTCCATTTAATTAATACTGTTTTTTTAGTACATACAACAAATGGGTTGGGAGATTAGAACCCATGTCCCGATGGTTAGATTAAGCTAAATTCACGTGGGCAATTAATAGATTGTAAATCCACTTAAAATATTTTTCAACCACTCATGAATCCTACCAGGTGAACAGTAAAATATAAAATGGGATGAAAACGAATGTTTTAAGGATTTGAACTCTTCACTTCTAAAATTTTAAAATCGATATAGAATAAATGTAATCTTTTTTATTAATTATTTTCAATACACTGCACCCTTTTTGATTCACATGTTCTACCAAAATGAACTTAGACTTTCTAACAAGTATTTATGCACGTTCTATCTTTTATATAGAAATAAGACCGATAAGCATTTGACCCCACAAAAAATTGAGCAAAAGGTTGCTAAATCGGTCTATTTCTTGCACGATATTTTCCATATAATATTAGTAAAAAAAAAATCATCTAAATGACAAATTACAAGTGAGATTAATTACTTTCCTAATACATGTGTGTGTTTCATAATTTAGCTAAAATTAAGAATCCATTAAGATGGATGAAATAAAGAATTGCCAAAAAAGTTGGATTTGGATGGATTAGATAATGGTATAGTTGGTGGTAGTCTTGTGGATTGCACACTCTTCAATTATTTTATGTGTTATCCTTGTTAATCTCCACTCTCTTAAACTCACTCTCTATAATTTTATTGGTGTAATCCTCCTCAGAATTCCAATACTTTTGGTTTGTTTTTTATTTTGAAATGTTATAAAAATATTCTATAAAATATTAACAAAACCCAAAAACCAAACAAGTTGGAGAAATCATCCAAACTTGTGGACCCAAATATCCAATGTGTTGGACAAATTAGGCCCATCTTTGCAAAAAAAAAAAAAAAATTAAAATTAATGGGAATTTTAGTGAGGGGGAAAGTTGGGCAATGAAAACTACTTCACATATCAAGCATATTCTCTCTTGGTGCTTTCTTATAAATACTTTGTTGAGTGTTTGGTTTTGGTCTCCTAAAATATGACAATCGTGAGAGGGCGTGTAATTCAGCATCTCGATATAAATATGGTAGGATAAGAATCTAGTCCCGCGTCGTAAGTAAGATTTTTTAAAAGATAATTGCATATTTGGTAAAATTTAGAATGTAGGACATTAATTAGTGATTATTATAGTTTACCTAAACCGACATCTAGGTTGATCATAAATTCTGTAAAAACAACATGCGTTAAATAGTGGTTTTGTGATTGTTTAGTTTAGTCAACGGTTAGGTCAATTATCGATTATTTAAGATCAAGAATTACCTTGCAATGATAAAATAAGTAGATTACTATTACCAAGTTGTAATTCAATGATTAATCAGTTATTTTTTATAAAAAAAGAAATGCAACTTTTGCAATTACTTCTTTAAATGTTATATTTATAATTATTTTTATAAAATTACATATTTGTAAATTTGATAGTCTGGCTTTACATATATATATATATTACTTTGTTTTAGTACAACAATGGGGGATATGGAGCATCGAACCTCCAATCTTAAGAGAATGAATACATATCAGTTATTACTGAGCTATGCTCTCACGTTAGCTTCACATATATATATTTTTTCTTTCTAAAAGATATTCTTGATATATTAGACTTGACACATAATTTGGGGGGAGATCTTATCTTGAAGTGACTACTATAATTTGGTTGTCTCTCGTATAATATTCTTATGAGTATTAGATTTATAACAAGGAAGTCTTTTCTAATCTCTCCAATTAACACGTCAAGTATATATAATTAAACTATTTTTTAAAAACAACAAATGTGGGGATGAAATATTGAATCTTGGACTTCTAAAAAAGAAGCAAACCGTCTTAACTACTTAATCGCTAAATGGACTATGTTTATATTGATTTTAATTCAACTAGTTAAGGCTTCAGTAACCTCTTCTAGAAATAGACTGATATCGTATAATAATTTATATCATTCTTCCTCCTTTCCTTGCCTGGATATTAACTGTTTTCATGATGACCTTCCATTACAAGAATTGGAAACAAAATTTGGAATAATAGAATCGATCAATCAATCAAAAAAGAAAAAAAAACTTGTCTTTCAATTTATCTGAGTCCTTATCAACATCGTCACAATGGAATAAAAGAATTTTCCCCCTTTTTAGTCAACCTTACCACTAAATTTATTAAACCATAAACTTGAATAAATGAATTTAAATCACCCCTAGAAACTAATTTTTTTAAAAAAATACTGAAGCATCCAATCTTAACCTTCAAATATATTCGAACTTAATATCTAATGCAGTCAGAAAAATCAATCCTTGCAAAAAAAAAACATATATATATATTGCCTCGTCCAACCCTTAATAGTTTTAAGGTAAAGATTCGAATGTTCAATTTTTTTTGTCAATAATATATGTTTTAATCTATCGGACTACTTTATATTTTAGTGGTTGGAACTGCTTTGTATTTTTCCCCTTTTATAATGCTTTTTCTTTCTTTCCATATTTCTCAAATATAACCGAAAGGCTCTTTATTATTATTACTGTTTATATAAAAAGTTGTTAATTCATTTATAAAAGTCACGGATGACAGATCAAAGCTTCCAATCCTTTTTCTTAATGATTCTTTTTATAAAGCTTTTGATTTTGGTTTCCATTTATTCTAATTCCGTTCATCCTATCCTTAATATTTTCTTTGGGCGAACATGCATGTTACCTTCTATATTATGATGCACTACGACATATTTAATGTTTCTAATATATTTTTCGTTTTGATCCTACTTTTAAAAAGTGACTATTTTGGTCCCTTAATTTTATTTTTAGTATCGTTTTTTCTACCACAATTTCGACACGACACGGCACTAAATATATTTATTGAAATGTAACAATGATTTTATATTAAAGAGTTTCCTCTACGTGTAGAATTTGGTTTAAAATAATATTTTCACCGATATTTTTAATACAATGATCAAATAGAATAATAAAAGTAATAGTAAAACTTTTAATTGTGTTGTACAGACCACCGTGCTTGATAAATCAACTCATGCTTTTTTTACCATCTTCAAAGGGAGGGGAGAATTTGCATCATTCCACTCTTTGTTTAGAATTTTTCTTCCTCACTTTTTCTTTAAAAAAATTCTTAAAAGTCCCTTTTTAATAACTTTAATTCTTTTTTCAATATTCTAATATTTTCTTAATCAAATGTCTCGCTATGAAAATTGTTGGGAAAGTTCCATTTCTAACCTACTTTAACGGATATAATTTTATTCTTAGTCACACTCTTTGTAATTTGAAACTGAATTTCAATCCCAATTTTCAAAACTAAACACAAATTTTTAGACCATAATATTATGGTGTAAGTTACATTTTGGATCCAAAGTTAAAAGTTGGACCACGATTCTAACTCTCCATGATTTACCGTAGTGTAAAGTTAGATTTTACACCCGCATGTAATCAAAAGTAAGCTAGTATTAGTCCTATAGACCCCAATACGTTCTTTTGAAACACGGTGTAAAATGAGAATTCATACCACTACCATAGTTAAAATTATATCAATATTTGTACTATATACCACAAATCGTGGTTGAATTAAATCAATATTCGACTAATTAATAGACTACGGTTTTTAAAACTATTGGTGTAAAGTTATGCTTTAAACTATGTGTTTTTCAAAATTCATCGTCTATTATAGATTGTTAGACCAGGATTGCTAAAAATCAGTCTATAAAATTCGTGAATTTTTTTTAGACCATAAATTAAAAAAAAAAAAATCATTGTTGAATGTCTAAAACTGGGGTAGTCTATACTATATTTTATAGCAGTGTAAAAAGGTAAGTACCATTCATATACCAAAAATATTTGCCAAAGTCAGTGGCCAAATTTGATCATTCTTAGATAACGAAAGTAATATTTTATCTTCTTGTTATTCAAATTATCATAATTTACATCAAATGTTCATAAAAATTTAATATTTCTCAAATTTTGGTCCATTATATATTCCACCACCATCCAATAATATATCCATCCATCCATCATTTTTTTGCTTTTTATATATATTTTGACCACTGTTTTGAGACATTTGTTCGTGGATATACAAATTATATGCAAGAATCTACAATTTTTGTAATTTTTGAAACATCAAAAGATTTATTTAATTAGCTCTTTCTTTTCTCCTTCATGGGTATTTCTACTTTTCTTTAATTTAATTAAAATTTTTAACTTTTGTTCCTTCTTTTTAGTGGGGTTGTGTGTGAACTCCACTTTGTCTGATCTTCAAAGCCAAATAAAGCTTTTGGTTTTTCCTCCATAAATACCCTTCTTCAGGGCGTGTGTCCTCCACAGTTCTTCCTCTTCTTCTTCATTGTTTCTTCCAAATTAAAAATTTTTCAGTGCTTTTTCTTTTCTTTTTTTAAATTTATTTTTCTAAAGTTTTAATTTTGGTGATTCTCTCTTGATCTTGATCTCCAAAACCATGGCAGCCAAGTTAAACATAAATAATCTGGAGCAACAACAAACCGCGTTGGAGATCGAAAGCAAGGAATTCGACTACTCCAAACGCGCCCAATGGCTACGCGCCGCCGTGCTCGGCGCCAACGACGGTCTCGTCTCGACGGCGTCGCTAATGATGGGAGTTGGAGCCGTCAAACAAGACATCAAGGCCATGATCCTCACCGGCTTCGCCGGCCTCGTCGCCGGCGCGTGTAGCATGGCCATCGGCGAGTTCGTGTCCGTGTACTCGCAGCTGGACATTGAAGTGGCGCAAATGAAGAGAGAGAAACAAAGAACCAATTTGGGATCAGACCAAAGGGTAGAGAGAGAGACGGCCGCCGGCCGGAAAGATGAAGAGAAGCTGCCCAACCCACTTCAGGCTGCCGCTGCCTCCGCCCTCGCCTTCTCCATCGGCGCAATTGTGCCGTTGCTTGCCGCCTCCTTCATAACAAACTACAAGGTCAGGCTCGCCGTCGTCGTGGCCGCAGTCACGTTGGCTCTTGCCGTGTTCGGTTGGTTGGGCGCCATCCTCGGAAAAGCTTCCCCCATCAGATCCGCCTCAAGAGTGTTGGTCGGAGGTTGGCTGGCCATGGCCATAACCTTCGGGTTGACTAAGTTAATAGGATCAAGTGGACTCTCGTCCTAGTAAAATTAACTACTACATTCTAGAGCTAAACAGTCGCATTCAATAATTTTTCCGTCTCGTCTCAAAAATTGTATTTTGATTTTGTTTTGTTTGGTTTTGAAATTGCAAATTTTAGGAGCAAAAGCAAAAATAAAAAGAGGGTTGTTGTTGTGTTTGTTATATTTGGAGATGATAAAGAAAACAAGGTTTTAATGAGGGCAGATCAGATGCGGACATCAATCAAACAAACAAACCCAAAATGCCTTAAATTGATGAAGAGGCAAATATTAAACGGTTGGCTTACAAAAGCTGTGCATCACTTTCGTGCCTCTACAAATGTGAGAGTTACAAGAAATTACAACGTATCGAATAATACGCACGTGATTCGGGTAGGAGTGATTAAAAATACTATAAACCACTTAAATTGCTTATAGAACAAGTATTTTGACTTTAAAAAACCATTTTTTCCTCTAACCATTTCAAATTTGCTATTAGATAAGTAGAGATGTTTCAATTCAATAGGCCAATTTAGCAATTTAGTTAATGTTCATTGATTTTTTTAGTACAATATTTTCATTGGTTGAAAATATTCCATTTAATAAACAAATAGATTCCACTGAAATAGCAGCAAAATTTGTTTAATTAATAAGTTAGTTTTGTAGTTTGGGTTAGGGTTAATTAGGGTTCTTGGGGAGATCAAGGAGAATACATATATTGATTACATGAGCTTCAACACATAGCTATTATATTAATCTTTACATCAATGTAATTTTGTGTTTACCAAAGCTATAACTTTATCTTTTCTTCTTGGAAGACCATAACTGATGGGAAAGTTTGCTTATCTAAATTATTATTTGATATAATAATGGTAACTTTTCCTAGTATCACCAATCAAATTATGTTTAAGTAATTACTCATGATACAAAAATTAAATTAAGTTAGTAAATTTGAACATTGCTTATTAGTTAAAGTATTAGTAACTTTCTTTAGAGGTCAAAGATTCGAATTCTCAATCTCATATTGGTGATATTATAGGTATAGATCAAAGACATTGAACAAAAATGAAAGAGATAAAAAAAATTAATTATTAGCATTTTATGTAATATTATACGCCAAAAACTCCAAATAAAACTATATGGTTCGCATGAGTAGTCAGAGGGTAATGTATTTTATATTTTATCAAGAAAATTGATATTTCAAAATACTCATGATATTAACATGACATATCTCTTAATCTATCTCTTTGTCACATCATGCTAAGTCAATTAAAGTTAATTCTTAATTAGAAAATCAATGACTTTATAATTTAACATCTTTGTAATAAATATATATATATATATATTTTTGTGTTAAATTTTTTTAAATGACTTGGGCTGAGATTGGACCAAGGGCCCACAAAGACTTGGTGGGCCATATTTTAAAAAAGCAAACAGAAGCCCATGAGACTCGGCCCAAAATGCGGCACAGGGCTCTCTCCTTTCTCCTTTCTCTGAAAAGCGCAGCTCCGATCACGAGCGACACCGATGAAGAAAGCGCGCGCCTTTTCCGGCGAAAACTTCCGGGAAACCGAATTGAAGCCAAAACCAGTTTCCACACTTCTACGACTCTACTTATAGAGGTAGAAACCAGAAATTTATGGTTATTTTTGTTTTTTTCCATCTAACGCTTCAATTTTTAATTGGCAATTTCAGTTCCAGCAACCTTCCCAAATTTCCTAATCTTTTACTTTTCTGGGTTTCTCCTCTCGCTAGTATAGTTGTCATCTCTGACTTTGGCGTGTGTGATTCGAATCCATCTTGCGGGAATATTGACATCCATTCTTTAGATGATTTCTTTTGATCATGTGGTTTTTCCTGTTTCGGCTCTGGTTTTGAGTTGCCCATTCCTCTGTTTCCCTTGTATTTGACCATCATTTTTATGTTGAACTCAATATTTTCCATATGTTTTGTTAGGTTCCGAATATGGTTGATGGGTTTATGATTAATTTTGCTTGTGTGATGGATTCTGTTTGCTTTTACTTGTGTTGACCTGGTTTTATCAATCTGCTGGCTGATAGTGTGACAAAATTGAATGGCAGAGATATCTTTATGCAGAAAGCTGATACTTAAAATAATGACTGAGTAGACCAATCTATCTTTCTTCTTTAAGATTAGAATTTTCAAAAGAAGTCCATGAAATTTCATGGATGCCATTTCTTTCCCCAGGTTAGAATTTTCAAAAGAAATCCATAAAATTCTATGGCTGCTTGGTCCTAGTTTGACAACTGTACTGGCAAAAGCAGTAAACATACAATTACTTGTGTGATTAGAAAGAGAAATATATATCTACGACTACGAGAATACAGCTTATTGTATCGGGATATTAACAATCCTTTAGGACGTGTTTGACCCATGGATTAGATTTATACTATCCAAGGTTAAGAAATTGAGCCAATATTTAGTATGCCAGTTTTCTTATATCAGGTTATAAGTTTGCTATACCATAGGCATAGGCTTTATAAGCTTATGAAATTCACCTTTTATGCCACGTGCTAATGTTTTCCAGTGTTTGATTGGATGAACAAACATAGATTTCACAATCTTAGGTTTCTATGATCCATTTTTGTACAATGTAAACATAGACTGCATGAACCCAAGCTTCCTAACTTGAGGCTTGTTAAAAATAATCGCAGAGGGAAATATCCACTTAGAGTTCTTCAAAATTTAGTAGACAGGAAAAAAATACATCTTAAATAAAATCTTCTTTCGTATAGAGGTGATACTCATCTACACTGTTTCACTTAGAATTTCAGTTGATTGACTTGCAGGAAATCCACCTCTGTGTTGTTTGGTTTAGGAGCTGTTGAGTGCTCCATTAGCTGTGAATTGAATATTATTGGTTTGTCTCCACCATATTTGAATGTTTGAGTCAACACTAAACTAAATATTGGAAACATTAGTTCTTTTATTTTTTATGCCGTGTGTTAATGCTTATGGATCTGGATGTGCTTCTTTATATGTTCCAAGGGTTCTTTGTAACTATGGAACTTGAAGAGGCCAGTTTGCGCAAATTTCCGCTTCCCGTGTGTAATAACTAGTCACGTAAAGCATGAGAAGAATAATTCACTTATATTATAAATTATTTGCCTTTCCATTGCTAATCTGATATTCTCAAGTAGTTCATTATTCCATTTACTTCCTGTTTTCCTTTTAGCATGTTTATTTTCCTATGGATGTTTTCTTACTAATTTGATGACTGTAATTCGTGCTGAAAGTATTTTCCATATCTATGGTGTCTAAAATGGTCAGTTAATTTTGTTCCAAATGCACCTCAACACTAAGCATTCTTATGGCTTGCTTTCAGTATCACCTGTAATATAACTTTGTGGCGACAACCTATCATTGAATTTTTTTGGTGGACTTGATCACTAACCATTTTACTTTGCTTCACATTTTTGTTGCTAATTATAAACTTTTGGACATGGAAAACCGATGGTACTGTGTTAGGTTTTTCTTGTTTCATTTCTTTTCTTTTTGTTTGTTTTGTTCGTTTTTAATTATCTTCCCGCAGGATTGTCTCTTCTACGACAGTCGAGACATATGATGGTATTAGAACCATAGAAAAAGGATGGTGCTTGTAGTACTGCAGAAGCCGAGGTATTGGAATCCTGGACTCTCTTCTTCTCCTGCCCTTAAATACCTCCTGAGAAACTTTTCTCTATGGTCAATGAAGAAAGAACCGGACCTTGAATCAGCTCTATCTCGTAACCGTCGATGGATTGTCAATAACCAAATCAAGAATATCGTCCTTCAATACCCCAATCAGGCAGCACCTGTAAAATTCCTTCAAAAGAGGTTTAAAACCCTCGACCTTCAAGGTAAAGCCCTTAACTGGCTGAAAAAATATCCTTGCTGCTTTGAAGTTTATCTCGATAATGATGAGTACTACTTTCGGCTGACAAAGAGGATGATGGCTTTGGTTGAAGAGGAAGCAGCTATCAAAGATATGCAGGAGCCCGTTTTTGTCGAGCGATTAGCAAAGTTGCTGATGATGGCTTCGAATAAGAGACTAAACGTCGTAAAGCTTAGTGAATTGAGGCGGAATTTCGGGCTTCCAGACGACTACTTGATAAGAATCGTTCCCAAATATTCAGATATGTTTCGAATTGTTAACTATACTGGAAAAAGAAACTCAATGGAAATTGAACTGGTGTCTTGGAAACCAGAGCTAGCAATTTCCAGCATAGAATCTTCAGCTTCCAGGCATGGGGTTGAGCCAGCTTTCTCATGCTCGTTGCCAACAACTTGGATAAATTCATGGGAGAAGTTTCATGAGTTTAACGCCTCCCCATATGTTTCGCCATACGTAAACCCCAGAGAGTTGGTGCAAGGTTCGAAGGAGATGGAAAAGAGAACAGTGGGATTGATTCACGAGATTCTGTCATTGACGTTGTGGAAGAAAGCATCGATTATGAAGCTGAGCCATTTCAGCCGGGAATTCGGTGTGCCAGCGAAACTGAACGGGTTGTTGCTTAAGCACCCTGGCATATTCTATATCTCAAACAAGTATCAGATCTACACAGTCGTCCTTAGAGAAGGATACAAAGGATCAGAACTAATAGAGAAAGATCCATTAGTGGTTGCAAAAGAGAAGTTTGGAGAAGTGATGCAGGAGGGACTTCATGAGTATAACAAGAGACACCACTTAATGAATATAGAGAAGAAGAGGATGAAGGGCATGCTTTTGGGCAGATCAGAGAAGAAGAAGAGCAAAGACTTTGAAGAAAAGACTGATGATGGTGATGAAGGAAACAATCTAGGAGGTTTACTTAAGCCAGAGGAAAGGAAAAGATTTTATCAGTGTCTCTTTGATGATGCTGCTGCATAACTTTATGGTAAGTTATAGAATAGATTGGCTAGAGTTACTTTTGCCTTTAAATTGGAAAGTAATAACTTGAAAGATTATGAATTGTAAAGCTTGTGAAATTCATCTGGATTTTCATATTCAACCAAACGATTTGTAGATTTCAAAAAATATTATAAAATTAGAACACATTTTTATTTTTGAAAAAAAAAAAGGAAAAAAAAACTTCACGAGCAATCCCAATTATGTCATCTTCAAATTATAAGAATTTCGGGATGAATTAGTAGCTTCGAAGAAACATATTTTCCCATTTTATTCCAATAAAATAATTAATTATTGTGTATTAGTGATGATAGAGTAAGAGTATTGATTCATAAGTTGGTTTTTAATGTTATTAGAAAGCACAGATGAAAAGTTTTTTATGGCTTCTGAATCTGATTGATGAAGAAATAATATTAGCGCTGCCACTTCTAGTTTTCACATAAGTTGGTTTTTCGGGTCGGTTTTCACTGAACCAATTCGGTTTTTCCTCTTTTGCCCAAAAACCGACAAGATCCGACCCAGTTACACCCCCTCAAAAACAATAGACTCAGTTAACTATTTACTATTATTTAACTTCTTATCATTTACCTTCTTGTTCCATCCAAGCAAAAAGCAATTCATCATCCTAGTGCTGCTACTAAAATCAAAACAAATAACAGAATTTTATAAAAACAAGTTGTATGCTTACTCTACTTTCACCCTTCAATGTGTGAATTCACTCCCCTCCCAAATCAGTATGAACAAACTCATATTCATACGTTCATGCTATTACTTCCAAACCTCGCTTGTGTTTGAAAATTGAAATGAAAGTTAGCAACAAACTTATCAAGCTTCTTCAACTATTCATACAACACAAACAAATGACTTGAACAAACAATCCAACACACTAATAACAAACTTTTCAATAAGGGAGAGTTAAAAGAAATTAAAAGATAACTGAGCTGACGCTTAAGAACAAGATTCTGAAGCTTAGACGCATATCATCAAGTTGCACTTGGCCTTGCATACAAAATCTGAAGGCATACAATTTGTGCACCCAATAAAAATGCCAAAAACTACAGTTAAATGCTCAGATATTTCAGAATAACTCACTACATTTGCAACATAATCCAACATGCATAACAACTAAAGGCTAAGCTAAGGCTAGTTTATGAAAGGGGTCGGGTACTTATAGTTCTGAAGATGTTGGATCCCCAAAATTTTCAGCTCCAATCAGTCAGGTACAGAAGACAAATACAAGATTCCCATCATTAAGGATGCAAGCAAGCAAACTCTCGAACTGGCGCTTAAACAGTCCTTAGCGGAGGTGAAACCAATATGACCCCGTCACCTCTAACAAAAAGAAATGGGACTGTACGCCTGGATGTCTGGAAAGGAAAACAGAAAGTTATATGAAATCTAAATTGAAGTACACACAAGAGAATACTCAAGTTAACATAACAAGCATGGATGGACATAGACTCCTGGTATTCTTTTCTTAGGTTTGGAACTTATGAGCTAGCCTCAAAGCCTAGACCTAAGAGACATTAAGGGTTTTTGGTATTAAGCTAATCGAAAGGTTCAAACTTGAGATCTCTAAATCAGTTTGACAAAGAAGCCCTTGCCAACCGGGCTGTCCCTTGAGGGCCTATAGATATTTCCTTTTAGAATACAATGCTTCACTTACTTCAATAAGGGTACCTGATTTACTTGAAAATGAGATCAACCTAAAGTAAAGTATTTGAAATTATCTTCCACATGGTTTCTTCTAAATCATGGTAGTGAATTAAGTGTCTATGGACTCCTGTGCGTGGAATGTATTTGTTTTATAGTATGGAACTGACTGCTTCGAGATAAATACCAAGATTGTTAAATTCCTTACGCCACAACCTATTTTTTTTCCTTCCCTTTTTGTAAACTCTTATCCTAATGAATAATTCTCATATCCAATCCAATAAAAAAGAAAAGAAGCATACACGAACGATCTCTTCATAAGTCTCATCATCAATTTCTACTGTTGTAACAATTTCTTCAACATCACCAAGAATCATATTAAGATGCTGATCATAAGCCTGCAAAACAAAGCAAGATATCGAGCAACAGAAAGAAATTAAACTCCAGGAGAGGAAAATCTCAGAGATTGGTTCTAAAATAAAGATACACTTAAATCAAAGCCGGAAAATCTTGCATTCACAATAGCTTCAAGGTCTGAAAAAATGCAACAGAAGAGTCAACCGATCAACTATTAATCATGATCAATATCTTGTGAACGAGTGGGTCATAACCTACAGGGCGTTGTAACAGGGATTTGTAAAAAACAAGGCTGCCACTAAGAGCTTCAGTACAAAATAAGAAAAATGTAATCTCCATAACGATATAGTACAAAACAATGGACCATATTTGTTGAAGAACCAAAAATTAAAGAACTTGGGCCTTGATATTGTAATCTTGGGAGTTGTTGTCGATAAGGAAGACATTCACAATGGAACACTGCATAGACAACAAGAAGCAGACCATACCAAAATAATCGTCTTTCTCATAAATGAGGAGTCTAAGATATGTAATTCATTTCAGTGGAACGCATATTCTTCGGTTTTTATTACTTTTTACCCATTGGAAGAAGCAGCATTCCGTTCCCAATAACAGAGAAGTTCGAAACCAGCCCCCGCCCCCTCCCAAACGCACGATAATTTCAAGACAAGAAAGGGCAATCCAGAGAAACTAAAATATCGCCTTTGTCAAGGGAAATCCATCAAGATACTCGAACGATTACAAAACCCTAAATTCGCAAATCCATTTATTCGATCAAAAAACGAAATACTGGAAACAAACAATTGGGGTCGATCGATTAAAAGGAGGGTAGAGACGTAGAGAGACAATACCGGTGGAGAAAAGAGACAGAGAAGAAGAAGAGGAAGAATTAATGGAGGAGAAAGAGTAGCGTACATGGAGTTTCCCGCGGAGCTCGCGGTCAGAGCGTAGCTTGACGTAAATGCGCTCATCAAGACTCAACCTTATGAGATCCAATGGCTCCTTGACGGTGCTTTCTTCTTCGGTCGCCATTTCGTCTCTCTCGAAGCTCTGGTTCGAAAATTGAAGAGCGCTTATGGTGCGGGAAGTAGAAGAAGAAGCGGTAGGATCCGATGCCCACGGTTACGGGTTATCGGGTCAAATAAAATCCACAACGATGGCCCAATAGAATCACCAGCCCGCCCCACATTTTTTTAGAAAATTTCAATATTTACATTTATGTAATGTTATATTATTATATTGATTTTTTCTCTTATGTTTTTTCTTAGTGGACTCTAGTTTTGGAACGTTGACATTTTAATTTATTTACATTTTTCAATTATTTTTTTATTAGTTTATATAAGTAAATCATAATGCTTTCCTTTTTTGTTAAGATTTAATAATATGAATTTAGATTTTATTTGGAAATTAGGGTTTAGTGTTTTTTTTTTTTGCATATAAAGTAAATTTATAATCTCTCTTTTTTTTTTCAAATTTCTAGCTTTTGTGCTTCCTTTTTTTTCGAACCATATAGTATTATAATTGTTTTTGAAAGTAGACTAGTTTTATAAATGATTGTTTCGAAAACTAAACCTCATTTAATAATCATTTCGTTTTTTGTTTTATCTTTTGAAAAATGAAGTCTAAAAACATTATTCTCATCGATGTTCTTTTGTTTTGTTATATTTATATAGTTTTTATAAACATTTTCAAAATACATATCAAATTTTGAAAACAAAATATACATATACATATATCATTTTCTAAAATTTAGTTAAGAATTAAAATATGTAATAGTGAAAAAATAAACATAATTTRAAAAAACGTAAAATTAAAAACATACTCAAACGACACCTAGATAATTATTTTCTTTTTTAATTCACATCTCTATGAAGCCACTACACAAATTATCGAATAAAAATATGTATTTTAAAATATAGCACATTTTCTAAACAAAATAAAAGTACTCACTTTTTTTTTCTCCTCTATTTTTATATTTAAAATTTGGATAAAAATAAAAGGTAGAATCGTGGTTGTATAGAAAACAAGATAAAACTTTTTACCTCAAAGAACCCTAAAAAAGAAAAGAAAAACCCCTTCTTTGCTTTTTTAGAAGAAGAAGAGAAAAACAAAACTTCGATCGTAAAGGAATCACCTTTAATAAATAACGCAGTTCAGTAATGAAAAAAAAAGAGAGTAGAGAAAATGGGAAGAAATCAAAATCTTGAAGTTGAAGCACCGAAATCAGAAAAACGGAAGATAACAGAAGAGAAATGAGAAGCCAAACACGGCAATGGCATATTATAATTATAAGGCAATGGCCACGCAAAAGTTTTTGTCACGACTTGTGACGTCAAAATTAAGACCCACCAGATCCTCGCATTCATTGAACCTGCATAAATCAAAACCAAACCTCTCGGATCGGTTCTCCCCACAAATTTTGACATTCTTTTATTCAAAAAAAGAAAAAAAAAAAAAAAAAACCCACCCAGCGCACCCTCTCGATCACAGTCACCGCAGCCAATTAGCGCCGGATGCGTTCTCTTCGCCGCTTTCCATTTCCTCTTTTCTGGGTTCGAGCCAGATAAGTACTTTTGCTTCTGCTTATTTCTTGATTGCCTTCTCGCAGTTTAATCGCTGTTATTGGAAGTTTAGGTTCTTGCGTTTGAAGGGTTTTCTCTTGGTTGTTTTGTTTCTTTTTGGTTGGATTCATGTTATGGGCCAAATGGGTGTTGTTTGAATGAAATTCTCAATTACCTAGCGCCTACCGGGGAAATTTCAATCTGGGTCATGCTTGATTTCTCCAGATTTAGTGGTTTAAGAATCATGTGAAGAGATTGGATCGTGGGGTATGCGGTTTTTGGTATGAGGTGAAATGATTTTTTGACATATGGAAGGGAATTTATCTCAAGGAGGGTTGATTCCAGGTGGGTCCTCTTATGGAGGTCTCGATTTGCAAGGATCGTTTAAGGTTCATAATCAGGCTTTACACCACCATCCTCACTCTCATACTCGTCAGGGATCTTCAGCCAATCCCTCCATTCAGGAAGGATTTTCACTTTCCATGGCAGCTCTGCAGAATTGTGACCATACCATGTCCATGGTAGATTATAACAAGGGAGAAAGGTTTAAAAACTCGCCCAGCGATGATGAGCCGAGCTTTACCGAAGATGGCGTTGATGGTCATAATGAGACTAGTAAGGGGAAGAAGGGATCGCTGTGGCATCGCGTGAAATGGACGGATAAAATGGTGAAGCTTCTCATTACTGCAGTGTCTTATATAGGAGATGATATTGCCTCAGATCATGATGGGGGTGGAAGAAGAAAATTTCAGATTATACAGAAGAAAGGCAAATGGAAGTTGATATCTAAGGTGATGGCTGAAAGGGGTTATCAAGTTTCACCCCAGCAGTGTGAGGATAAATTCAATGACCTCAATAAGAGGTATAAGAGGCTCAATGATATAATTGGGAGAGGCACTTCTTGCCAGGTTGTTGAGAACCCTGCACTTCTTGATGTCTTAGATTACTTAACCGACAAAGATAAGGACGATGTGCGAAAAATTTTGAACTCGAAGCAGTTGTTCTATGAAGAGATGTGTTCTTATCATAATTCGAATAGGCTCCATCTGCCTCATGATCCTGCTTTGCAGCGCTCTTTGCAGCTGGCTTTTAGAGCAAGGGATGATCATGATAACGATGAGCCAAGGAGACACCAAAATGATGATTTTGATGAAAACGAACATGGTGAGACTGATGAACATGATGATTTTGAGGAGAACTTTGCACCCCATGGGGACAATAGGCGATTATTTGGAGCAGGGTCGGCGAAGAGGCTCAGACGAGGACAAGACCATGATGAAGCTCATGCCTGTGGCAATTCCTTGACTTCTCATGATTGCAACAAAAGTTCTCATACTTACTCACAATTTACTCCAGCTGATACGGCACAGTTAGAAACCGAAAGTATGAAGGCTTCTACATCGCAAAAACAGTGGATGGAGCTCCGCTTACTTCAGATGGAAGATCAGAAGCTTCAGATTCAAGTTGAAATGTTGGAATTGGAGAAACAGAGGTTCAAGTGGGAGAGATTTAACAAGAAAAAGGACTGCGAGTTGGAAAAAATGAGGATGGTAAACGAGAGGATGAAGCTTGAAAATGAGCGCATCGCACTCGACTTAAAGCAAAAGGAAATCGGATCGGGATTTCATTAATTGGCTGCTGTTTTCTGAACTAATTTTATTAGGTCAGAAGATTTGCATTCAATTAAGCTACTACTTTGGATCGATAAGCTGCTGCTGTTTATATTCTTTCTGGTTATGCGAGTAATGAGGGAGAGCTGTATTTGGGTATTTTTACATTGCCTACATCTAGCATGTAAAGTTAGAAAAGTGACAATACAAATGGTTGCTTTTCACTGTTTTTGCCTTTACTTATGTGTGAACTTTTGTGGTTGAGGAACTTGAAGAATGGTTGGATGTTTTATCTGTCAAATTTCTGCCATTTCTCCCAACTAATTATTTTCTAGCATACAAATGATTATATACACTACTGGATTCTTGAGCTTATTGTATGGAGAATTGCATACTGTCACTTCTGAATGGTGTGGATTTCATGGTGCTTTCTTCTTTCAATTGGGCTTTTTAATTATTTTCCGATAATGGAACATCGGGGGCCTCCACGCCCAAAAGTTAGCTCCTAGAGATAACAAAGATTTTAAGTTATCAAGTTTTCTAGAAACTTGAAATGTATCTCCTAACATCTGAATTCCTTATCGCCAACATTCTGTGGAAGTTTATTGGAATGGATTCTGAATTTGTTATGAGATAAAACATAAACTGATTTGAGGAGACATTGGCTGGAAATATTCTCCAATAAGCTGTGATGACTTTTACAGTCTCATTTTTTAGATTTTAGTGGAAATATTGATGAGAATCAGTGAGTTCTCTGAAGTGTTCTTATTCATCTTTTAGGCTTGTCAAAAACTTCTCACAACTCCATCTAAGATTTATGGTCAAAATCAGGTGATGTTTCAGCCAATATATCAGATGGGAGAGGATCTTAGATTATGACTCTGAGGTTGTTACTGTCACTTCCAGCATCTATGCAGAATTCTCGACGATCTGCAAACCAGATAACTATAACGAACCTCCCCACTACTTGGAAGGGCTCGAGCGAGAACTGTTTTCGTTCCTACTTGTGTAGATATCTCTATTCAGGCAAGTCTTTTGGTCTGTAAGTAAACGTACTAACAGGTGTGCAAAATAGACGTCAGGGGACTTGAATCTTGTATGGTACTTCAAACGAATTAACTCGTAACGTCTGAACTACTACTAATACACGTCGAAGTTTTACGTTGTAAAGCATGACAGGGTGTTCATATTGTGATTGAAGGAGATGGTGAACTTTTTTTTCCTTTTTTTTTTCTTTTTTCTGGTGGGATCAACAGCCATAAGCATTTGAGGCAACAGTTTTGTGGTCATGAGGAACAGAAATTAAATGCTGTTTTTCTTTCTTTTTGTCTTATGTTCAAATGAATTCAGTCATTTTAGCACTAAGTGGGCCAAGGTGGCCCAGTGGTTGGGAACATCATGATCCAGCCCAATTGAATTATGGCTGTCCTCTCTCAATTATATAAATATATTGTATATATCATGAAAATTTGTAATGGATGGTTTTTTTTTTTAATGAATTTTAAGTATGTGGCATCCTTTTCTATGGATTTCTTAATTTGTTTTTTTTTCATTATCTAAAATTATGACTAATTTTAGTTGATATATTAGTTCATCATCAAATTTGGTACATTTAAATTACTGATCGGTATATTTGACATCAAACAAATTTTTAATCCAATTCTTACAATTTCATTGTGCTAAGAATGAACTCGCAAGATCAAAAGCTAACGTAATTTTCCACAATTGGTCAATTACAACCAAAATTATAATTTTTCGAATTAAATTTTCTTTTTAGCTAAATTACTGTTTTTACTCCTGAACTACAACTATTTTTCAATTTTTACCCTTAAATTTGATTCTAATAACGTTTAAATATGTCAACCTCAACATAACTCAATTGATTAAAAAATATATTTTTTTTAATCATGTTACGTCATTGAGATATATATATATAGTTCAAAGATAAAATTGTCGTTTCATTGGAACCTACAACTACAACCTTGGATGAAACTAAAGCAAATATATCGATGTCACTTCATATTTATATCCATTTTTAATGGTGTTTGCAAAGACGATTTGAAACAACGATAGAGAGAGAAAAATATATCATCGAGAGGAATTTTAAGAAAAGAAAGTAAGTGAGAGAATATGTTAAAAGAGAGAAAAATGACTTTAGTCATAAAGAAAATGTGAGATTTTGAAAACTAAAATCTTAAGATTTAAATTTAATTTCTTTTGTTCTTAAAAATTTAATAATATTTCAAAATTTTCAAAAACTAAAAATGATAGACTCTATTACCAGCATATTTCTTTACGAAAAAAAAACTAAAAATCAGAAATGGAAAATGGTTATAGTACAATACCTAACACAATTTTTAAAAAGTAAAGAAATAGTATCAACACTTTGTATGGAGAAAAACAAAGCAAACAAATTGGAATCTACATCGCTAGAAAAATATAAAAATGGGTGCTATAATTCATTAAAACTGTTATACAACGAGAATCGACGATAGTCATGCTACAGGTCGCAATCGAAGAGCTCGGTCCCGAGCCGGGCTCGGCCCACGGCCCAGCTGCAAGTCTCACATCTACGAGCAACGATTTTACCTAGGCCCTGCAACTGTGAATTAGGGTTAGCCACTGAAGGTTCTGGAACTACTTCACGGCTATAAGTAGCAGTTCAACCCTAGAGGTAAGGGCATCTGAAGTTTACCACTTTCACATTATTCTCTTGCTAACTTAGACATCGGAGCCCGTTTGACTAGAGTCACACCGGTTTAGTTCGATTTGGTTTTACAGGTATTAGTCTCGAATAATCAAGTTTGGTAGGTGCGAGGAGGAGAATAGGAGGACCGAAATCCACGCATCAACAAAAACCATTATCAAATTAGTTTAACAAGAACATTTGATTAAAAAATATATATAACTTAGAAGTAATATAAATCAGATACGTTCAATAATTTTTCCTAAAGCGAATGCATGGTTTGTTCTTCAAATCAATTTATTTAATTTCTGTGATTTTTTTAATTGACGACGATATATGTATTAATCAATTGAGCTATGTTTATATTGACATTTAAGAACAAAATAGAGGCGGAGAGATTGGAATTCCGAATGAATTATTTTCAACCAAACTAGATTTTAATTAAATGATGTCCAATTGTGAGATAGCTGCAAAATTCAATCATATGCAAAAGATAATAATTTATCATCATTCTCCCACCAAGCCAAACTTTGGCATTATAACATTAGACAGTGAGTGCTATGGTTTGAAATAGAAAACAGTCCATAACACATATGTATGTGTTGCTATCAAGTAATAGTTCTACACGTGCTTATTATCATTATTTTTAAGATAAAGAGAAAAGAAATCTTATCCACAAAAATAAAAAATGAAAAATAAAACTTTTGATTTTATAGTATTCTACATTTTCTTTTTTAATTTTTGATCTATTAATTGTGTGTTCTGATAATTGTTTTGATTTTATAGTATTCTACCACATGTGACGCTCGAGTAGAGAAGAGGAGTACGTGAATGAATCGATACCACATCTGAATAAGAGGGATCCTGAGATCATGGAAGCATGATTAAAAAAGACTTGAAATAATTGATAGTTATTGTTGGGGTCAAACTATGGACGCCCGACCTGTTCGAGCAAAACCGAAGAGGTCGACCTGCTTGACTACTTTGTAGGGGAAGTCATGCGCCAAATCCCATCTGCCGAAGCAGGGAGTGGCCAACCGGTCCAAGGCAAGGACCAGAGATCGCTTAGGAGACCCCAGCGCAGGTAGGAAAATACCTCGATGGAACAGCTATCTACCCTTGTCAACCACTATAATTACACCACCACATCACATATCCAGGTATGGAATATGTCTGAAACTGATCTGTTAAGCTCGGATTATCTACTGACTTGGACATCAGAGTGGTTTACCTCCTTGCAGGTACTCCTAGAATCATTCTAGCTATGTATAGCTGGCAGACCTCCCAGGTCGTCTTCCATGCTTTGACAAATTTTCGCATCAACAGTTACTACTTATACTAACAAGGTGTGCCTCTTCTTGTTCGATGGTTCAAATCATAAGACTTCCAAAGTTAAATGTGCTTGACTTGAGCAATTTTGAATTTGATGATCTCCTAAAAGATTTCTTATGATGCATGTGAGGAAGGACAAAACATGTTGTTGGTTTGTAGGGATAGTTTTCATTCTTATTAGTAGTTCAGATAAAGCGCACAATAAATGGATAAGTTTCTAAAATAGAAGAATTTAAAATTATTTTGAAAAATAGAATATCCATCTTAGCAAATTATTTTTTAGTGTTACTTTGTTTTGTTTTAGGAATATCTGATGAATGGTGGTGAAAATTTTAAACCATTTACAAACATAAAGTGCCATTTTGCTGTATATATGATTGGTTGTTACATGTGTTGCCTAAGGGAGGAGGATCTTTTGATATATCCAAAAAGAACAACAATTTTAGACCATTTGTATTAAGATTAAGATTATTCTACATGATTTTAAAGTTTTTGAGAAAAATATAAGTAGTTTGTGTTTGTGATCGGGATAGGCTATTAAGTAATCGTTCTAAAAGATGATATAATATTATGTAATTACTACATAATTAGATTTCACGATGTCTAATTTAAGTCAAGAAAAGTGAATGGAAAAAAGTAGTTACAAAATGATTATCAGCGTGTTTTTCTAAATGGAGATTTATGGATTCTCTAACATTTATGACCGTTTTTTACCATCATTAGTTAGTTTTTAACCCGCCATAAATCACTATAATATATTCGAGATTCCATGACGTCAAGGAAAAAGAGCTTCAACAACTAAAAGATGATATATTGTTTAATTTTCTCATTAAAACGACGTCAAGACAGTCGTCCACTAAATTGATGTATCAGAATAAAGAGAGATTTGGTAGGAAAGTAGAAGAGACTTGGTAGGAAAGTGGGAGAGGCTTTCGTCGCCTCTCCAGTGACATAAGCGACGAAATTTTTTTTGGCTCTGGTAGCAACGATAAAACAATTTCATCGCTTTTGAAGTGACAAAATTATTTTCGTCCATAAATTGTATCGTTAAAGGTCTTTTTTTTCCTTGTAGTGAACTGAAAAAGTAAAATAAATTCACAAATATCATACTATGTAGTGTTAACTTTCTAGTCATAAATTGATAACCTAACTCGACAAAATCATAGTTCTTTAAAACATCTAGACATTAAAGAAAAAAAGAAAATTATTTTCGAGACAAGTTTTCAAACAAGCTGAGCTAAGATGAGCACACGATGATTGAGATAGATCGAGGGTAGTGAAAATTCTACATCATTTGAAAGCGAGAGTAGAACGAGACTTCACATAGATTTTATGTAGAAAAATTTAGGCTCCAAATGGGCAAAGGGAGTTGTCTTGTATCCTCACATCCCAACCAAAGTGCCATTTTGGTGGAGGGCTGTATGTGAGTTTACATTTTGCATGTTTTTTGTGAGGAGAATCTTAGATCCATCCATGAAAAAAGTACAAATATTTTGGACCCTTGGTTTCAAGATTTGTATGATGATAAAGTGTTCGGGAATAAGAAGTTTGTGATCAAGACATATATCAAAGAGAATAAGAAAATTGTCTCTGATTTTACAATACAATTTCTTTTCGCAGCAACTATCCTTAGGAATCTTCGTAATATGAACGTGGCAACTGTTGGAATTAATTTAATAATTAATTTATATATTAGTAAGCAATTATATTTAGGCTATTTAATGGGTATATTAAACGTTCTTTGTTTATGAACCTATGACTTCTCCTTGACATACTAGAATTTAGGAAAAAGAAAATTCTATTGAAAAGACGACACGGAGAGACGACATACCAAAATTAAAAATAAAAAAAACACATGGCGCCAGCAAGACGCCATGCAACTAGAAAATTGTAAAGTGGCATAGGTCCACGACTTATAATTTTTCAAGTATTATTCTTAGAAATAGTTTGGGACGGATATATATTTGGAATAAATTTAAAATAAAGTATTATTAAAAAAAGATAATTCATTTTGGATTAAATTCCCAAGAGTTAAAAATGATTATGGGAAAATTTTAACTATTTTTGTTATTTGGTAATTAAAACTAATTGTATATTGGATTAAATTAAATCACTTTTCCAACTACCCTGATTATTAAAATCCGGTACATAGCAC